GGAAAGCTGCCTGGCCAGCTGGCTGTGGCGCTCAGCCAGGGTGCCCCACGCTCCACATGGGCAGGCACAGAGGAGAAGCCGCCCAATCAGCTGGAGCGAGGGGCAGCCTCTTTCAGCTGAAAGCCACAGCCAGCTGGCCGGGGTGTTTAAGCCCTCCCAACCTCCCAGCTCCCACCATTCCTGTGTTGTTGCTCGGTGAGTAACTGCTCCTTAAATGAGGAAATCAAAATTAAATGTACTGCGCAGATGCGCAGTTCAGAGAGGGCTCAAGAGCAACTCTTAGAGCCCCTGAGATCGACCGGTAGATCGCGATCTACCGGTTGGTGACCACGGATCTAGACAGAACCCTTCTGCTGGAATAAACTACGCAAATTGCATAGCTTATTCCGAATCTAGGTCAATAGAGCTTATTTTGAAATTTGGCACTGCGTAGACAGCACCAAATTTCAAAATAAGGCACTATTCCGACAAATCGCTTAACCCTCATGGAATGAAGGTTACAGGGACACTGGAATAGCATTTAAAGATGCAGCATTACTATTTTGGGATACTTACGGTATCCCGAAATAGCGCTGCAGTCTACATGTACCCTTAGTGTAAGCCAGTGACGCTCAAAGTGCTGTACGACCATCTTGGAGGTGAGCCGCAGGCTCGTGGCTTGCTTCCCATGCAGCAGACAGGCTGCATTGGCACTCTAGCCCTGCCAACTCCCCCGGCGACGCTGGGGCACCAGCACCTGCCTCCTGCTGTGGTGGAAGGGGTTAGAGCCTTGCAAGTCAAATCTGGTTTGCAGGGGAAAGCGGCAGCTCCATGCGCTGTCGCTCTGCCTCCCCCAACCTAGGGCAACGGCAGCACAAGAAACCACTCACCTGGAGGCTTTCTCCGCTGCTCCCATTGGCCAGAATCACAGCTAACAGGAGCAGCAAGGGGCACCACCTGGGAGCGGCGGAAGGCACAGAGCCAGGTAAGTGACCCCCATCTCCCTCTTGCCCAGACCTCCTGCTCCCATCCCCTTCACGCATCCCTTTCCTGATGAGACCATGTACCCCATCCCTGCTCCTGTATCCTCCCACCCAGACCGCTCCACCCCCAGCCCATTCCTGCGCCTAACTTCCCAGCCAAATCCCTCACCATCAGCCCACTCCTGCATTCTACCTCTTCAGTTACTGTAACACTATCAAAACATTAAATACATTTTTACAAGTTATAAATAATCAAAAACCAACCTCTTTTTGGCTTCATTCTCTCTCCTAGCTTGTTCCAATGCCATTTCTTCAGCTACTCTTTTCTTTAGTTCTTCTTCATTAACTAAAATAGGCAGAAAAAAATTAAACCTTAAATGTGACAAATATACAAATGTTACCAGATCACAGTGTTATTTTGAATTACAGAAGCAAGCAAAATGTTTAGGTTATTTTCTTCATTTCTCTATTCAGCAATCTTAGCATCTTCCAAATTATAAGGTATGCTATTTTCTTCTAATTGTCTTCATTCCACCAATTTTCAAACAACATATTCTCATCACAAAAGAAAAACGTGTGCATCTCTTACGGCATGACACACCACCACCTAAATGGTCCTATAACCTAAGCAACCAATGAATGCACGAGGAGGAGAGAAACAAGTTCCAGTAAAAATGATGGTCTTCCAGCAATTCCTTTAAGCAAACAGGAGCTATCAAGTGCCTCCTCTAACCTCCACCGGGGCAAGGAGAAAGCAGCATATCTTTGGATCCCAAAGCACTTAAGGCATTAAGGTTAAAGCCAGCACCCTGACCTCCACCTAGGAACTTAACATAAATCAGTGGAATTTCCGAAGTACTGCCCCACACATTACTCAAATGGTCAGCTGCATTTACATTACCCTCAGACTAAATGGTTCCAGTTTGTAGCACCATAGAGAGCAATTGCACCATGTGGCACGGAGAGACAGGCTTGGCTAAGGGAAACAGGTCCATAACAGAGAAAGAATCGCACACAACTAGAGAGGCCAAAAATGGGCAGAAAGAAAATCTTCTTAGCCACAAATACTATTTGATCTTCTAAAAACAACAGTCACGAGCATTAACAAAAGTCCAAAACTGAAAAACCTGAGTCAAAAATATTGCGCGCGCGTGCGCACACTCCCCCTTTGACATTATCTGCATTTAGCCTAACCAATATCAGGGATGTAAAAATCCATTTAACTGCTTAACCAGCATCCCATAGGCAGGGGGCCGCTCCAGCCCAGCTGGGCTGGGACCTGCCACACCACACAATGGGCTGGAGGTTGTTCCAGCCAGGTCCTGCTGGGCTGAAGCACCCCATGCCTACAGTGCAGTGAGCCCATGGCACACTGGGAGCAGCCCAGCCACGTTAACTCAATTACGGGGTTAACACGTAACATCCCTACAGCCAACATGGCCTCAAACTCTCTCGAACTTCATAAGATACTGATTATTATTACACAAGATTATTCTATTTCCAGTGACTGAAACCCGCCTACACAAAGCAGTTTCTAGCTCCAGCCTCTCTGGCATGCTTCCTATGAGCAGACCATCTGGTACTCCTTGTCACAGTTCAGGACACCTGTGCCCATATTCCTCCTCCATAGTCCAGCAAAGGCACCCACTTCTAAGCTTCCAGCTCCCAACCATTAACTCTTTTAGGAGGAGAGCTATGCATGCTTCCCTCCTGACCAAGGTTCTTCCAGGAGGCATAGTTCCCTGCCTTGGTTGCTTTGTTTGCTCCGCAGCGATTGTGAACAGCGCAAATGCACTATTATGAGGCCATAATACAAGGACTTCAGAAATTTTACACACTAATCAATCTACATACATTAAACTTAACGCTGAAAGATATTTTAATATTTCACATCTTTAATTCACTTCTTGACAATAGGCACTCACATGTAGCATAACAATTATACTGCTCACCAGCATCTGTCTCCTGAAGTTTATTGTTCTTCCATAAGAAAAAGTAAAAAGAAGTCTAATGAAGCATGGAACGGTCTTTTAAAGTATAATAAATAAGATTCAGATATCAGCTAATGCAGACATAACATATTTAACTTGAACTATCAATTACATATTGATCAGCCAAATACTGATATGGAATAAAAAATGGTAGATCATTAAGTAAAATTCTGTTATATAAGTAGGATACCTTCCAAATGAAAAAGTCGTGGTATCTCAGTGAAGATTATAATTTCAAGAGTAGGAGTATTTCGTATGAGAAAAAAGAGCCTCCAAAATTCATTTGTCAGAAAGACAAAGAGTCTGAAAAAAACTATGTCTGTTACAACAGGTTCTCGGCAAAAGCAAAAGGACCTTTAGCAGGTAATTTCTGCTCAGACCACACAATATTCAGAAACAGACAACTGGAAAATAAACTACCAGAAAACATTAGAAGCTGGTAGATAGATGACACTTGTTTGACCTAGAGATGTGAATGGTTAATCTGTAAGCATCACCCTTTCTGGATTAATAGTCTGTCCAGCCTAAATACTAGCTCTTGCTTCTTGACAGTTACGGGCTTTCAATTTCTGTTTCTCACCAGACTAAAAAGCAACATATGCAAAGAAAGACACAAGCGGGATAGCAATGGTTTTGTTCTGTGTTTATGTGGTGGTAGACCATGGCTAAGCACAGCAGACAAATTAGTTTAAAATATCTTAAAGACAGAGAGGCAATATATAGGAAAGGATGGAGGCGGCATAGAAGGGAACAGTGGAGTGGACTGGAAAGGAAAAAAAGTAAAACATTATTCAGCACACACACAGCTTCCCATATTTCCCCACACTTCTGCCACCCACACCCCTCTGTCATGACTTCTGGGCAGAAGAGAGACCCTATCTGAGAATATTACGAACAAATTCGTTCCTTGGCTGATAAAGGAAAACATGGTAAGAGTAAGCAGTGCAAGATGATGATGCGGGGCTTGGTTGCAAGAATGACATCATAAGGAAAACTGCTTATTGGAAGAAAAGAGTGTGGATGAAGATGTGGATATGGATGAGTGGATCAACTGGTTAGTAACTTAAATAATTCACTTTGCAACGTATCATTGTTCAAGACTCTCTCTATGCCTTTTAGTGTAAGTATAATTAGACAAGTAAGTTCCCAAGTTGTTTGATGTGTTGGATGTTGCTAGAAATAAAAGTTTAGCTTAACTAATTAAACAAGCCATAAGGATTAGGTAACTAGGTTTGGAATCTATCGCTCAAGTATACAATACAGAAAGCTGCAGTAAGAGAAATCTGGAGTTGCCAGTTGCCACAAAGTGTCATTTTCTCATTTTATATTACATAATACATGTCCCTTATTTTGGAACATCATGGCATCACCATTACGGTCTGTGGCCATAAGTCTATATCCTATTTTACTTCAGTATAATCTAGCTTTTCCAAGCTCAAAAACAGACGTGCCAGTGAGTTACTTCCAAATTAAATGCACTAAGCGCAGTCTATCTTAGCTTTTTTGGTAACTAATTTTAAATGAATGATTTTTGTGTGTGATTTAAATCATGATTTATATCACCTTGATTTACATCAATCCACAATAGACCTCACCCCTTGAAAGCATGGGTCTTTCTCCTGGCCAAGTTTCCTTTGCGTCTGTGAGAGACTCTCAAGTTTGAGGGTACATCCCACCAAAAGCCCCGGATTTCTTTATTCTGCTGCAGCCACTGGTGGAACACACACACAAACTGTGAAGTGTATGAGAGACATATACAACAGGGTGGGGTGTGAACAGGATAGCATGAATATAGATTCACTGATTCCAAAACCAGACAGGCCAACTACGATCATCTAACTGGACCTGCATAGAACAGGCCACAGAGTCTCTCTAAAATAACTCCTGGAACACATCCTTCAAGAAAAACATCTCATCATATTGTATTCCACCTCTATATTTACACTCTTAGGTTGCATTCTGCACAGGTGGGGTAGCATCTAAGCCCCACTCTGGATGGTCTGTCAGAAAGTTAGTCTGCCTTGGAGCACAACCAGCTTCCTGATGCATGGCTGCACAGTGTGCCCATTCGTGCCCCAGTCCTTGATAGATCTAGCACCTCAGGTCCCTGACATGGATCCTTGGTGGTTGCATAGTTGCACATAGTTGGAAAATTATAGTAAAGCTTGCTGCAATCTTAATTTTTAAAGAAAAAATTAAACATCTTTGAGGACTCATTCCCTAGTGCCACTCTGTATGCCACATAGACCACTTTACAAAAGAAATGTCCCTTTTGAATTAACATTTTGCTATAGAAAAGGGCACTCCATCTTCCCTCATCTACCTTGTAAAGTGATGGCAAGCACTTTCTCCTCTCACTCCTATACTGCTTCCTATTATTCTCTCCTGTCCCCTTCATACTATGTCTAATTAGCCAGCAAAATCCTTACTTGCCTCTGAAACAGAATACATTTTCCTCCATTTTTGTTCCCCTTTCTCTCTCACTAGTCATGGTATATAATTCCAGAATGCCTGTTCTCATAAGAACAGTTTGTATCAAGGGCACTCACTGAATGAGAATTAAATTTTAGCAAGAAAGATTCACAAAAAGAACTGTGAGCAATACCCGCTAGATAAAGGACATCTGCACTCTCAAAAATGTGGGTTTGAGAACTCAGCAGCAAGACACGACCAAGTTAGTAAAATGGCCTGCAACCTGCAGAGCTAGGACTATATCCATTAATCTTGCAATTTCAACAAATTCATTAACAGAAAAGTGCATTTATTCCGAAACAGCTTATCAAAACCCAACTGAAAAGCAAGGTCCATTAATGTTAAAAATGAAAAGAAGCTCCTGTTTAATACAGGTAACCATGTTTTACAAAATACCTAGCAACACAATTAGAGACCAAGTGAGTGAGGTAATATTTTTATTCTATTGGCAAGAGAAAAGCTTTCAAGCTTGTCTCTCTCACTAGCATTTCTCAATATAATTTCCATTCAGTGAATTTAAAAGGAAAATACACCAGCTCTAATGTTTCTTTTAAAAATGCTTTCAAATCAACTTTGCTAACCCAGCTAGAGGACCCGAGCAGGACCTTTAAACACGTGTATTTTTAAACACTTCAGACTAAATAATCAAGATGTCCTTTGGTCTTGCAGTTGTCTCTTGAAAAGAAGTAACAATTTGTTCTTGCAAGGCTGGATATAAGGGAGAAGAGGGCAATGATGGGTCAACCAACTATGAACTCGTGGGGGGGGGGGGGGGGGAGAGAGATTAACAGGTGTGTATTCACTACAATGTTAGGTTAAGACAGAACTACAATGTTGCCCCTAATCAGACACCAGCACACACAAATCTCCAGTAGATTTGGTA